GGTCTGCTGGGTGTGTGTCGCCCGGGGGAGCTGGCTGGACCGCTCGGCCAGGCAGTGCGGCTGGGGACGGAGGGGGATGGGGTGACCCTGGTGTGACCATGGCTGGTGGGCCGCCTTGCACAGCACCCAGCCATGAGCAACCCCTGAGCTCGGTTGGTGGAGGGGGAAATGAGTCACCACGAAAGGAGAAACAAAGAGAATGGCAAAAATAAAAAAGAAATAGGCCCTCCCCAAGGAGGAGGGGGGAGAAACTGACCCCATCGCAGCCGTAGGGACCCCGGGTGCCTCTGAGTCCCCACGCAGGGGCTGCGTGGCGCGGTGGCAGCTATTGTTCGGCGGGGATTTGGCATCCTGTGTTTCTTGAAGCTGCAGTTTGGAGAACAATGAGGTTTCCTGCGGGGGGCTGGGGGGGGCAGCGGGCCCTTCCTCTCCTGCACCCCGCAGGAAAAGTTACTCCGGGGGGGCCCAAGGGGTGCTGGCACCCCTCGGTGCCATGGCTGGCATGGGCACCAAGTCGGGGAGAGGTGGCGGGGAGTGTGTGTAAGGGGTTTGGGTGCTTGCTGCCTGGGAGAGAGGTGGGGGCCTGCCCCTGCTGCTGTTGGGTCTGGAGATGACGGCTTGGTTGGTGACAGCTTGGTGACCATGTCCTGTCCCATCCCACCCACCCGGCTGCAGACCAGGCACTGCCCTGATATCCAGCGCCCTGCATCAGCGATGCCGAAGACTGATCCGTGGTTTTTTCCCTGGCACACGGACACGGTGCTGTCTTGTTCCGCTCCTTTCCTGGCCTGTCCCCTCCCAGGCTCGGCTGGCACCGGTGCTCCTCTCCCCTGCAGCCCCGGGCGAGGGGGCTGGGCAGGAAGGGCACAGCTCCCCTCCGAGAAATGCAGACAAATTAATTAAAAAATGGAGCCTTTAATTTTTTTAGCTTTAATTGAATTCCGTGGTGGGGATGGGAGGGAGATGGGGAACCTGCGGGGCACGGATTTGCAGGGCTGTGTGCCCCTGTCCTGGTCCCCAGGGTGCCTCCTGGTCCCCCCGCACTGGGTAAACTACGGGGATGTACATGGGGAGAGGCCAGCGGGAAGATGCCTCGGTAGGATGAAGCCTGTCGGTGCGGGCGAATAATAAACAATTGTCCCTGCGGTCTATTTATAGCGGCCGAGCCGGAGGATAAGTTGCGGGGTTATTTTTGGAGTGGCTGAAGGCACAGTTGCTGGACGGCGTTTCTGAGCTAATGAAGCAAA